CAGTATATATATCAATTTGACAATCTTCTTTCTGATCATTTACCTTCACAGAGAGCAACACAGTTTAGGTTATGGCTTTGCAGGAATCTGGTTTGGCCCATCTCTTCCTAAAACAAAAAAATACATAATAAAATACATAAAAAACACAAAATCCAAACAACACAATACATGAAAAATACTCTGACCTGTTTAAGTTTATTTATTCGATTGTATTTCTTTATGAGTTCTTCTTTGCTTGGTATTTGATGCTGACCTTTACCCATCTCTAAACCCAGGACAGAAAGTGTTTCATAAGCGCTGGTCATATAATCACAGCAGAGGGATTAATTTGTTTTATAGAAAGTATTCTCACCAGAATATCCAAAAGATATGTTTGAAATGGGGCTCAAATAGATGCCTTTTCCATATGCAGCTCCATGAAGCTTTAAAAAAGAACACGTTCTCAGTTTGCTGGTAAATGTTTTAGTGCTAAAGCTAACATGGAATATCCGTCCACTTATGTTTTCATATTTTACCTGTAATTTTGTGTAGGAGGCGTTGAGCAGACCCTTCCTCAAAATGGAGTGCCAGTTTTCAATGTGGGAACCACTGGAAGCAGAAAGTATATGACGATCACACGTCAGTGTTATTGTTTAAGAAACAAACATCAGCCCTGATTTGACTCACTGGAAAGCAAAGGTGCTGCCGTGAAGCTTCCTGGCCGTTTGAAAACGAAGCTCTTTGGACGGAGGGCTGCAGAGGAGCAGGAACTGATGAGGCGTGCGCATGAACTTCAGCTGCTGTTGATGACCAGATACAAACACAATGACAGGAGAGCAATGACAGGGAAGTCTATAAAGACCCCCGAGCATCATGTCTGGGGTCTTGAGATGATTTCCAACAAGAGTGCAACCAATGGTTCATGATATGACTTTCAGTAAATTGTCAGAGTCATCGAAATCCAAAGCATGAATTCTCTCACACAACCATCCTGAATATGGGTCTGTTAAGGTGATACATGACTGATAATGATGTTGTTCATGGTGTAAATCAACAAACAGTTCAATAAAAGAACATGTAAATACATAAAAGTCAAGCTATCACACCTGTTGACGACTACCAGCCTTTCAAAGCCATTTTATGATCAGAGTAGTAAACTTCATCAGTACCACTCGTTGTTTTTTTTTTTTAGTGGAAGTGCTCTAAATAATCTAAGATCCAATGTGGAGCCATATGGTGACATTTTCTGTCGTAAACATTTGTGGAGTTACACCTTGAACAACTTCCTGTGTGCTGTCATTCAAAGAGAAAGGCTCAAGTTAGGCAACAAACGCTTCAACATTTCTGTCAAACTGGAGCAAAGACAAGGTTTTAACGAACGTATCACCTATGTTTTGACCTTTGACCTCATGACCGGTAAATCAATTGGAATCATTCTTGGCCCATGAGGTGTCCTGCTGTGCAGTTTGACATTTTGGAGAGATCGAGCATGTTTTTTACCATATTGTGGCATGCTAACAGCTAATCTGAGTGGGGTCAAGTGTGTTTAATATAAATGAGCGATGTAAAACATTTTTAAAAAATCCATTCATTCTAAATCTTCAGTTCTGCAGCAGTTTGACAAACAGCTCTAGACAAACTGTTACAAATAGTTTTTCTTGGCAATAATAATATTTTTTTAAAAAAACAAGTTTAATGAAAATGTTTATTGATTTCATTGGACCTGTAATCAAGTTAAGTGTTTCAGGTCTAATATTTTTGAAAGATAATTACTAATAGAAGAGATGAAATTCAGAAAAACAAACAAGGAAAATGTGGATTTTCTCCAACATACCTTGTTCAGTGGAAGCTTCACTATATGGGATCTGTTGCTCGCTAAAATCCTGTTTTAAAAACACAAACACTTCTGGGCATTAATTTTAAAACACCTGGATTTTACTGACTTCTGGAACGTCACAAAAATAAAAATCCCGTGTTTGTTGGGGTTTTGACTCTTACCACTGCAGTAAGGGGTGAGCAAGAGGGTCTATCTTATCCATCTGCTTCTTTATCTCAGAATATGGACCCTGGATGGGACAGAAATCAGATCCAAACAAAGATGGATGACAATTTGGGGTTATGCTTAAAGGCACTGTGTGTAGGATTTGTTGTTTTCAGCGACATCTAGTGGTTGAGTGTTTGAATCATCCTCCCTGGTCCTCCCCC